CTATGTTTAGTCTATACTGACTGTTGTGCTCTTCACTGCTTTCAGCACTTATTATCTAACCGGGTTAATGACACTCCCTTTATCTGGCCTTTGATGGTCTACTTATACATCACTACTTAGTTTTAATTTAACACACTACTATTTTTATCATTCCCTTTACACATGCCATAACTCCGCCCCAATAGGGGGCGGGGCTGTGTCATGTGACGTTTGGGGTTAAGCATATAAAATGGCCCCGATGCGGACATTCCTTGCATGGCGCTTGGGAGAGGAGCAACACAACCCCACCCCACCGCAGAAGGTATTGGAACTCTATGAGCTGTCACAATTTGAATCTATACAGCTTACCACACTATGTTTAGTCTATACTGACTGTTATGCTCTTCACTGCTTTCAGCACTTATTATCTAACCGGGTTAATGACACTCCCTTTATCTGGCCTTTGATGGTCTACTTATACATCACTACTTAGTTTTAATCTTACACACTAGTATTTTTATCATTCCCTTTATCTGGCCTCTGATGGTCTACATATATATCACTACTTATTTTAATTTAATACACCAATATTTTAATTTTGTGAATTTGATCCCTTTTTTCCTTTCCTTGTATTCACTTTTATTTTTTTTCTCACTTAAATTGATCTTATTCATATTCGTTTTATAACCTTTTTTATAATTTCGCATACCACTGACAGTTCCCTAACACGTACTGGTCTAGCGAGCATATATATAGATCATATACTATAATGACAAGTAATCACTCACCTCTACGTCCACACCTAACTAATATCCTATGTCACGATTTCTATCATGTCTTTGGATAAATAAGACTAACTAAGAAATACACTGTTCTGGTACGACCTATCGACACCATACTTAGTGTGGCTTGCACCTTTTTTATATCTTCTCTCGTCTTTTCCCCTGAAGAAGCCCGGACGGGCGAAACATGTTGGGACACATAAGAGCATATACACAACCTTGAACAACAACTACGGTATATAATTCAATAATTTTTTTATTGTTGAGGTCTGGAAATGCTTCTTTAAAGCCCCTCCTTCTTTTTCCTATGGGTACTTGCACATCCCATTGTGAAAATACCTTCTTTTCTCTCCCGTTCATTGAAGGACACAGGGAACAGATCAGAGATCATGTACTGTAGGGTAATATCGCCACCTGCAGGAGAAGGACGCTAGGCACAAAACTAAAGACCAATTAAAGCCTAGGGGCGGCCCCTGCCGGTGGCCAAACCCCCCACCTGCTGGCAAGTCTCCAGTTTTTTGCCTAGCGTGAGGAGTAAGGAGCTAAGAATTTTTTCTCGGGTATTCTTACCTGCTTCTTCCTGGGTTTTTTCAGAAGATTCTTCTAGCAAGTGTTGTCCGGGCGACAGGCTGGATGTCTCGGATCCTTGGAGTCTCCCCTGGATGACCAGCGAACGCATGCAGGCCCGCTGCGGTGGGTCGGCTGCGACGGCCCCGATCCGGCGGGGTGGCCTGTGGGTTCGTCCCAGGGGGTTGCATATGACTGGGGGTCTCGGCCGCCCAGTCACAGCACTTCCTTCAGGCTGCTGGCGCCGCGGCTGCGGTCGGGGGCGCCAGTTTTCCGCAAGCACCTGTGGCTTTTGATGTCCCCTGCGCTCCTTTCAGCATGGAGGGGGATGGCCCGCATCCTCCTGTGGTATGTATTGGATGGGGGGTCCGCTGGCGCATGCCTGGGTTCCCCTTGGCTCCTGCCCTCCCCTTCCCCCTCCTCCCCCTCGGTCACCTTCTGGGGTCGCGTTGGGGTGTTGTGGCCCTGTGGGTCCTTACCTGGTTCCTGGCGGCCTGCGGGTGCTCCGGGGTCGGGCTGAAGGTTTTTTCCTCCACTATGGACAGTTTTGTGTCCCGTATGGAGCGCACGCTGACGCAGCGCCCCCCACGGAAGCGCGCTTTGCCGGCCCCCTCCCCGGTCCTTTCTGGGGATTCTGAGGAAGAGGGGGAAATTTCTGCTGCGGCCGCGCAGCCCGACCAGGGGGACTCCTCTCAGGCGGAGTCTGGTAGTGACGACGAGTCGGGACCGCCCTTATGGTCCAGGAGCGCGAATTGGTCACGTCCTTGGTTCGCGCGGTGCGGGAAACGCTTAAAATTGAGGAGACTCCGAGCTCTTCGGCGCTCCCGCCGGTTCCTTTTGGGACGCACAGGAGTAGGCGTTCCACTAAGGTTTTCCCTTACGTTCCTTTTTTTGATGATTTTGTCTACAAGGAGTGGCAGCGCCCGAGCAAATCGTTTACCGTTTCCAAACGCTTCTCGGTTCGTTATCCTTTTGAGGAGTCCTTCCTGTCTAAGTGGTCTACCCCTCGCGCGGTGGATCCGCCGGTTTCCCGCCTGAACAAGGCTACGGTCATCCCGGTGGAGGATTCGCCTTCCTTTCGGGATCCCACGGATAGGAAGGCGGTGGCGCGTACTATGTACTCGGTTTCTGGGGATCTGCTGCGCCCCGTGTTGGCTTCAGCCCTGGTCTCCCAGACTTTGACTGAGTGGATGAAGATGCTCAGGGTCTTGCGGATGAAAACGTGTCTCCTGCTTATGTCGACCTGACGGAGCAGGTGGTGCAGGGTCTGCAATACCTGTGTAATTCGGCCCTGGATGCGGCCCCGTTGGTTTCCAAGCTGTCTGTGTCGGCGGTTACTCTTCGGCACCTCCTCAGGCTTAAATGCTGGTTGGCTGACCAGGCTTCCAAGAAGGCTCTGACGGAGCTTCCCTTTACGGGGGAGCGTCTGTTCGGGGCTACCTTGGATGAGATCATTAAGGATCTGACGAGATCAACGTGCTGGAACTTCGGGCGATACGTCTCTCCCTTCTTCATTGGATGGACCATCTTCAGGGGCGGCTGGTCCGAGTTCAGTCGGACAACGCCACGGCCGTGGCTTACGTCAACCATCAGGGCGGCACACGAAGTGTGGCCGCGGCTCGGGAAGTGGAAAGAATCCTAGCTTGGGCGGAGGTGCATGTTCCGGCTCTCTCCGCCGTGTACATTCCGGGCGTGGACAATTGGCAGGCCGACTATCTCAGTCGCCAGTCAGTGGACCCGGGAGAATGGATGCTACATCCGGAGGTGTTTCACCAGCTCTGTCTTCGCTGGGGGTTCCCGGACGTGGATCTCCTGGCGTCTCGCCTCAATCGGCGGGTCGATCGGTTCGTGGCCAGGACCCAGGATCCTTGGGCGGATGCGGTGGACGCCCTGGTGGCGCCGTGGGATTGCTACGGTCTGATTTACGCGTTCCCTCCGCTGTATCTGTTGCCGCGTCTTCTTCGCAGGGTCACGGTGGAAGGCGTCCCGGTCATTCTCGTGGCTCCGGATTGGCCGAGGAGGGCGTGGTACGCAGATGTGGTTCGGTTAGTGGCGGACGTCCCCTGGCGCCTGCCGCTCCGTCCGGATCTTCTATCTCGGTCCGGTGTTCCATCCGTCTTTACCGTCGTTGGCTTTGACGGCGTGGCTGTTGAGAGCCAGGTGTTGAGGAATCGTGGTCTCTCGGATGCGGTTATCTCTACGATGTTGCGGACTCGCAAGCCTGTGTCACGACGGATTTACCATCGAACGTGGAAGGCTTATTTTGCCTGGTGTGAGTCGGTGGAATTTCCGCCTCTTTTGTTTTCCGTTGCCAGGATCCTCGCCTTTTTGCAGCGGGGTGTGGATCAGGGTTTGGCCTTGAGTACGATCAAGGGCCAGATTTCGGCCTTGGCTGTCCTTTTTCAACGGCCGATAGTCTCCAACGTATCGTTCCCCCTGTTCGCTCCCCGTTGCCACCGTGGGATTTGAATCTGGTGCTCTCAGTGTTGCAGGAATCTCCCTTTGAGCCTCTGCGTGACATTCCGATTCTGACTCTATCTCAAAAGGTGGCCTTTTTGGTGGCGGTCACCTCGATCCGCAGGGTTTCGGAAAGTTAAACTTTGATTGTCCACATAACAGAACCAACTCCTCCTTATTGATTCCGTTCATCACACTGCTAATGAATTTATTATTGTTCGTGCTCCTTCCAGGTGACGTCATCTCGGGTCAGCTCCTGATGTCATGGCGACCTCTTCCTCCTCCTCCTCCTCACAAGGTGTGATTGCTGATACTGACAATCCTTTCCAATGTTCTCCTCCATCTCACATCTCTGGAGATTGGAAATAGATGATAGGACGCCTTACGTATCCATATCCTGTACATTTCCTGTAGACATCTGGTCAGTCCACCCATTAGAAGAGTTCAGGGGCTTTCATCAATCCCACAATCACATTGTGTCTTCATATTTTATTTATCATTGATGGAAATGATCTTCTGAGATGGTCCAGTGATCCATAAGTGACTGGATGACCCCAAACTTGATGGTTATTTGTGTCATGGTTGGGGTCATCCTTTGTCTATAATCATAAGGAGAAATCAGCCCCGTGTCACATGACACATCCTGCTGGGGAATCTGGGTGTAATCGTAGTTGTGTACATGGATCAGACATATAACTCTTCAGGGGGAATTGTAGTTTGAAGGATTTAAAGTTTCTTTATCTTTACTAGAAAACCATCACTAAATATGATGCCTGAAGACAGCCATCCCTATATATACACACTAGGTGTTTGCACCCAATATTGTCCATCTGAGAGGTAAATTAAGATCATGGAGGCAGTCATGTGAGATCATCACAGGTAAGCCAATCTCTCCATAGACCAATGTACATATAGACATATAGGGGATATCTTCCTTTCCCTTCTATATGCTCTTTATAGCTCCACCATCTACCAGTAAAGACGTGTCAGAAATAAACTGTCCAATCAGGATAATGTTCATGGTTGTGGATTGTCCTCTCTGCAGGGTCGGCTCCTGGTGTCCGACGGAACGGCCGACAAACCCCCGGAGATCTCATCATAGATTCTCTGGAGGATCTGTATGGACGTGACTTCACGAGATTTAAGAACAAATTGTCTGACTTCTCCTGTGGAGATAAATATCTCATTCCGCGAGGAAGACTCGAAAATGCAGACCGGATCACCACCAAGGACCTCCTGATAGACACATATGGAGAAGAAGGGGCTCTGGAGGTCACAATTGAAGTCTTTACACTGATCGGTCTGATGGGACCTGCCAAGGACCTCCAGGATAGGAGAGAACAAACTGGTGAGTTCCCGTCTATAAGGACCAATTCCTGAGAAATAGCTGTGTGAGGAAGAACTAGTCATGTGATACAGGGACAGCCAATGACCACTCAGGACATTCTAAGTGGATGAAACAATCTTTTATTGAGGTAGTTTGAAGAACAGAATAATGAAGGAAACAAATGTGTGTGTGAAACAAAAGTATTGCAGAGTTCAGAAGTATTCTAAGAAGAAATCAGGGAAGCAGAGTAACACCTCCCCCAGGATGCTGGCAGTCAGTCATCATAGCACAATGACTTCACTCAGCATGCCGGGCAGCGTAATACAATTGCAGCCATTTGTCTATATCACAGAGTCCACATCTGTATTTCTGGGAGACCCTCATGAGTGATGCTCGGGGTTCTGTACCTTGTGTCTCATACTTCCAGCTAAACCTCCATCAGAAAGAGGAGCCAATGCTCCAGATTAGACAACCCATCACATGCAGGGAGAAATAGGAGGAGGAGGGGATCCAATCTCCAGAGGGATGGTGGGATTATGGTACCTGGGAGTATCCGACACACTAATAACATTATTAGAAATTGATTTAGAACTTCCAGAGGTTTGTCAGGACTAAATATAATCAGATTCTGAGAGGAAGATATTTTCCTGCACACAGCTTACTTCTTCTACAATCATTTATTATTTTTTCCAGCCAAACTGAAGAAGATGACACATGGCATCAGATTATCAGGTGAGTAGGACATCCACATGACATATCAGACCTCTTCTGGATAAACATTGTGTTGTGTTGTAGTCTAGATGATGGAATATTTGGACTTCTTCCACAATTCTCCTGTATTTCATGAGATATTTTCTTTTATGATACAGTTCTGAGATCAGTCAGAATGTTTACTCTATGTATATATGAAAACAGACCGGGATCTGGAAATAAGGAGATTCCCTAATAATATTCACAAATTAACCAATAACCCAAGTTCTTTATTTGCACTAATTTAAAGACTAAATTAAGAATAAATGTGCAAAAAATATATATTTATTAACTAAAATCAGTGCAAAATAATAATCAAAATATAAATGGTGACAATAAAATAATAAGGATCAAAATATTGATCAGCAAAGATACTAATAAAACCTCAGGATATTATCTTAGATAATAAATGTTAGAAAATATTTATTTTAAACACGATTTAAGCGTCTTAAGGTGATTTATAATCTTCATCAAAGAATGTCCAGTTGTTGAATGAAAAACTTGTGACTTCAATTATATAGCATAAAGTCAACAGCATACAATGATATAGCAAAAATGAATATACAAATAGATCATTCAAAAATATAGCTGCACGTTAATGCAGAGTTAGAGTACTCTGAATATCACCTCGTGCCTTGGAAGTCTTGTGTCGCAGAAGTCAGTGGTGTGACGCACAGTGCATAGGTCAGCAATAAAGCACAGTGCAGAGGTGAGTGGTGTAATGTAGAGGTCGGAGATCAGTATGTACGCAGTGCAGAGGCCGGCGGTGTAATGTAGAGGTCGTAGGTCAGTATGTACGCAGTGCAGAGGCCGGCGGTGTAATGTAGAGGTCGTAGGTCAGTATGTATGCAGTGCAGAGGCCAGCGGTGTAATGTAGAGGTCGGAGGTCAGTATGTACGCAGTGCAGAGATCAGCAATGTAATGTAGAGGTCAGCATGCGTGCGGTGCAGAGGCCAGCAGTGTGTAATGTAGAGGTCGGAGGTCAGCATGTAAGCAGTGCAGAGGCCGGCGGTGTAATGTAGAGGTCAGCATGTATGCAGTCCTGAGGCCAGTGGTGTAATGTAGAGATCAGCATGTATGCAGAGGTTAGCGGTGTAATGTAGAGGTCAGCATGTACGCAGTGCAGAGGCCAGCGGTGTAATGTAGAGCTCGGAGATCAGCATGCACGCAGTGCAGAGGCCGGTGGTGTAATGTAGAGGTCAGAGATCAGCATGCACGCGGTGCAGAGGCCGGTGGTGTAATGTAGAAGTTGGAGGTCAGTATGTATGCAGAGGCCAGCGGTGCAATGTAGAGGTCGGAGGTCAGTATGTACGCAGTGCAGAGGCCAGCGGTGTAATGTGGAGGTCAGCATGTGTGCAGTGCAGAGGCCAGTGGTGTAATGTAGAGGTCTGAGGTCAGCATGTATGCAGTGCAGAGGCCAGTGGTGTAATGTAGAGGTCAGAGATCAGCTGTGTGCAGAGGCTAGCGGTGTAATGTAGAGATCAGCATGTGTGCAGTGCAGAGGCCAGCGGTGCAATGTAGAGGTCGGAGGTCAGTATGTACGCAGTGCAGAGGCCAGCGGTGTAATGTAGAGGTCAGCATGTGTGCAGTGCAGAGGCTACCGGTGTAATGTAGAGGTCGGAGGTCAGCATGCATGCAGTGCAGAGGCCAGTGGTGTAATGTAGAACAAAGAGAATGTTATACCTAGAGTACCACACCCAATATCAGACAGAGTGTATTAACTCTTCTATGACTCTCAAGACAGACAACCCCCAGCTGCTTACACAGGAAGTAATCAAGAAAATGTGCTTTACCAAGAGAGGTTAAAACAGAGTGCAACTAATACAGAGGGTCAGAGTCAAAATTAAGTACAAAATAGTAATTTATTGATTAAACGAATTTTCTTTGGATAAACCAGATGCACCTTATAAACCAACACACCCGACACAATTAAAAACTGGTTATTGCAACAACCCATTCACTCATGTATGCACACAAACACTCTATGGACAAGCTGATCAGCGTGTTGTATGATACCGGTTAGTCCTCAAATTATTTGAGGAGACAGCGCTTAGACTGTGATTATAGATTAAATATTATTCAAGGGATTTGTATCAAATGCCTAGGATACTTATTCTATTGTATCTTAGTGATTCAGTCCATCTTATGAGATGATGATTTCGTAGGTTGATAGTATAATTAGTTAAGTATTAACTTATATAGCCTTAGTTCTAAAGTGGAAGCAGGTAGTATTCAAAGTGGAGTGCTTGATTGGAGATAGATCTTTAGAAGTTCAGAGACATAGATGGGAGCCCGGTGAATCAGAAAAAGGCATAACCCTGAGTTGCAATCACACTTGGGGAAAGAAACCAGCCAGTGTGTAAAGTCCCGAATATATTGTACTCACGGGTGCTTGATTACTTAGCCGGGCAGTCCGTCTCGCAAAATATGGAGTGTCTCGATACTAAGTTACTCCAATTAGTCCTCTTTGTTGTTTCCACTTGGAAGGGGAATCAAATGGTTCTCAGATGGTTTCCTTTGATGTATATGGGGATATTAGAGAGTCCCAGATGCATTTGAATTTTGTCAATGTATAAATCCTTAGTCACGCTGTTTGTATTATACACGGCCGGGAAGTTAGGTACCTGACATGCAGGTGTTTAGTCAGCTTAACGTCCAGAACCGGATGACGCGTTTCGCCCCTCCTTCGTTTTCAGGGCTTCGTCAGATCCTGGTGAATGATTAACTCACGAGGTTTTTATTCTTTTCCTCATGTACTGCTGTTAACCCATTAAGTGCAAAAATGAGCATGGGATTTAAAAGATTGCATACGTAGATATTAATATTTAAACTAATACTTAGAAGGGGGAAAAAGACAATTTAACCACTTCACATTTTGTCATTGTCAATGCTGGCCCAGAAGTCAAACTAGTATAGAGACTGTATAGTCATGCTAAAACCTCTACCATTCAGGACAATATCTTCGCCACAATTGATAGATATTTGGCCCCATTGACAAGTTGGGCACCATGCCACGTAGAGAGGGGGGCTCCTGAGATAATTTCTCTGCTCTCCAATCCTCCCCACCTCCTGTTGACTTTCAAACTGCGGTGAGGGAGACCCCAAGGTTTTCCCGCAAAAACTTCAAGCCCTTCCAGGAAAATACGGGGGATGTGGAAGGGTTCTTCCAGGACTTTGAGCACCAGTGTGAACTGCTGGAGGTTCCACCCTCAGACTGGACGCGCTACATGGTGGGACTGTTAGATGGAGGAGCGGCTGAGGCCTACCGAATGCTGGACCCGGCAAAGAAAAGGAACTATAATGATATCCGGAGGGCAGTGCTGGACTATTATGCTGTGTCACCAGATGCCTATCGTGCCCAGTTCAGGAGCACACCCCGTCTTCAAGAGAACTCCTTTAAAATGTATGCGCACAAAATATCTCTAGCTTGTCGCCGGTGGCTGGAAGGGGAGAATGCGCTCTCCCCAGAACAAATAATCCAAGTTTTTTTAAAGGAACAATTCTTGTACAAATGCCCCTCTGAGATTCGTCAAGTCTCTCTGCGCTCCTAGTTCGTCACAGTCTACCATTCAGGACAATATCTTCGCCACAATTGATAGATATTTGGCCCCATTGACAAGTTGGGCACCATGCCACAGGACCTCAGATCGAATCTAGATCACACTAAGACCGCCTGCACCTGACATTCCACACAGACAGCCAACTGACTAATCTCTGGTGCCAACCGAATTGACTACTAGGGAGATTAGCTTTATTTTATACAGTTAAGTGGGGTGAATACAAAGCGAAGTCTCCCACTTATATGAAAGTAGGACCCAAAAATGTGGACCCCAATTTGGCATAGAGGACGAAGAGAGCAAGTATGTATAATTCATGGTTTAGGCATTTAGGACCAGCATGCACGCAGTGCAGAGGCCGGCGGTGTAATGTAGGAGTTGGAGGTCAGTATGTATGCAGTGCAGAGGCCAGCGGTGCAATGTAGAGGTCGGAAGTCAGTATGTACAGAGTGCAGAGGCCGGCGGTGTAATGTAGAAGTTGGAGGTCCGTATGTATGCAGTGCAGAGGCCAGCGGTGCAATGTAGAGGTCGGAAGTCAGTATGTACAGAGTGCAGAGGCCAGCGGTGTAATGTAGAGGTCGGAGCTCAGTATGTACGCAGTGCAGAGGCCGGCGGTGTAATGTAGAAGTCGGAGGTCAGTATGTACGCTGTGCAGAGGCCAGCGGTGTAATGTAGAGCTCGGAGGTCAGTATGTACGCAGTGCAGATATCAGCAATGTAATGTAGAGGTCAGCATGCGTGCGGTGCAGAGGCCAGCTGTGTAATGCAGAGGTCAGCATGTGTGCAGTGCTGAGGCCTGTGGTGTAATACACATCACTTCCTGCATTCCGAAGAGGAGGAGGAGATCAAACGGAGCTCGTGTTCTGACCTCCGTTTGATCTCTGGCCGCAGAGCTGCTGTGCTAGTCCCGGGCTCGCACCGGGCACAGCGGAGCTCGGGATCGCCAGCAGCGGCTGCAACGGAGGGGGGGCGCACACCCGCACGCATATAACAATCGATCCGGCGTCTTTACAGACGCCTGAACGCTTGTATGTAAACAGCCATCGCTGGCTGTTTACATTCCAGGCTGATCTCGTGCACGCCGCCTAGCGGCAGGCACGAACAGGGCGGGATGGGACGTTTAAAAACGCCCCGCATTCAAGAAACCGGTGTCCGGCCGTTTAATTACAACGGCCAGACAGCAAGTGGTTAAAAGACAGATCTCCTCCTTTTGACATTCTTCAACAGCTGCTACCTCAAGTTCTCTCAAATTCTGACATAGCTCAGATTTCAAGGACAAAGCAAAGGGATGCACTATATGTCTTTTCCAAGGCCATACATTCAAAAGCACGAGGCATCAGTTAAAGATATGGGCCCATTTATTTAATTCCTCTTAAGCCAAATCAAATTTAAATCGAAGTATTTTTCATCAATAAAACAGAACACT